ATCCTGTCTTCTACGGAATTTCCCGAGAAAGGTGTTTCTTGGGAAAGTCTAGGATCAGGTGCGTGTGAGCTTATCAAAGTGTATGTTGGGTGAGTATAAGGTAGGTGAAGTGCGAGGTAGGTGAAGTATTGACGAGGTAGATGATGTGCGAGGTAGGTGAAGTAGAAAGTAGGTGAAATGCGAGGTAGGTGAAGTAGAAATTAGAGAAGGACGAGGTAGATGATGTGCGAGGTAGATGAAGTACAAAGTAGGTGAAGTAGAAAGTAGATGAAGTACAAAGTAGGTGAAGTACAAGGTAGGTGAGGTAGAAGGTAGATGAAGTACAAAATAGGTGAAATACTAGGTAGTGAGGTAGAAGGTAGATAAAGTAAGTAGGTGAAGTAAAGGTAGGTAGAAAGTAGGTGAAGTACAAGGTAGTGAAGTAGAAAGTAGATGAAGTACAAAGTAGGTGAAGTATAAAGTAGGTGAAGTAGAAGGTATATGAAGTACGAGGTAGGTGAAGTACAAGATAGGTGAGGTAGAAAGTAAGGAAATACAAAGTAGAGGAAATACTAAAGTAGATGAAGTACAAAATAGGTGAAATACTAGGTAGTTAGAATACAAGGTGGGTGAAGTACAAGGCAGGTGAAGTGCAAAGTAATTGAAATACAAGGTAAGCATGTTAGGTGAAGTATAAAATAACTGAAATGCAAGGTAGATGAAGGAAAACGTAGATAAGTACAAAATAACTGATAGACAATGTAGGTGAACTACAAGGAATTTGAAATACAAGGTAGGTGAATCAGAAAGTAGATGAAGTACAAAACAAGTGAATTACATGGTAGGTGATTAATCAATAACTGTCTGCAAGCATTTATTATGTAAGATACACGTCAAAGATTTTCAATTCCCAAATTTCAGATGACTACACAATCACAGAACATACATTAACTTCTTTATGAAATAATGTTGAATTTGTCAAAGAATCAATAACAATTTTACCTTTACATATCTTTATACATCTTCGAAACCTAATCTGACTAACGTGTAGCAGGTAAATACACATTTCCAAATTACTGAAATAAAACGAAGCATAAATACAAACCATATAAACTGAATATGAATATAATCTGAAATTTGCCTAAACGATTCTTCAATCTGACATGAATATAACATCAACATAGGTGCAAAGTGGTTCCTAGAGCCAAGTTCTAGGATCTTTCACCATAACATCAGAAGCTTTAAGAAAAAAGAACAAAGAGTTCTGTAATATAGTGTAACGTGGTTTCTTTGTGAGTATATAGATATACATGAACGTGTGCATCTGCCTCTACGTGCATACATTTACAGACACATACACACACACTCTCTCTGTCTCTTTTCTCTCTCTCTCTCTTCTTTCTTTCTCTCTTCTCCTCTCTCTCTCCTCTCTTTCTTTCTTTCTCTCTCTTTCTTTCTTCCCTCTCTCTCTTTCTTTTCTTTTTCTCTTTCTTTTCTCTCTCTCTCTCTCTGTCTTTCTTCTCTTTCTTTTTTCTTCTCTCTCTCTTCTCTCTCTCTCTCTCTCTCTCTCTCTCTCTCTCTCTCTCTCTCTCTCTTTCTCTCTCTCTGTCTCTCTCCTCTCTTCTCTCTCTCTCTCTCTCTCTCTCTCTCTCTCACTCTCTATCTCACATACATGCATATACTCTTAATACTTAGTGCCTTCGGAGGAGCAGACGACATATCCGCTCATGAGGAAACAGGACATCCGGTATTTCTGTCGCCTGCGTTGGAGAGATAGACGGGGTCTTCGTGGTTTGGGGCAGATACATGAAGGCACACATGAATACGAACGTGCTTGAATTCTAAATATTTTATATCACACACACACAACATACACATGTACACACATACATGCACACGCACACACGTACACACACACAACACACACACACATGTACAACACACACACACGCACACGCACACGCACACGCACACACACACCACACACACACACACACACACACACACACACACACACACACACACACACACACACACACAACACACACACACACATATATATATATATATATAATATATATATATATATATATATATATAAACTACGTCAAGGCAAACTTTACATCCTTCACTTTCACGGCCATTCACGTACAGGTCGGGTGATTTCTGAGACCGTAGTAGCACTGAAATAGCCTGTTGTTCAAGGCGTTCGTCTGTTTTGAACAAGTGCGAGGTGGTTAGACGCCTGTAAAACCGACCGTGAATAATATGAACACATCTTATCATACGATTTCTTTCGAACACAAAGATGGATAGGAATGAAGAAATGTAAAAAAAAAAAGGAGAAAAATAAACTATAGAAAGTTCAACAAGCAATAAACAAAAAATGAGCAAAGACGAAGGAAAAGATATTCGAAAAGTGAGTAAAGTTGTCACAAGTACAGTATAAAATACACTATAAAACCTATAAACACACTGGTAACCAAGGGGTGGCTTAATACACCGTGGCAGAGTGGAACAAGGTAACTGTTAAACGTTTATGGGGACAGATGGAGAGAATCAGGAGTCAAAGACATCACGAAGTCAAAGGCAGCTGTTAGACATTTTTAGAACAGTTAAGGGAAGTTGGGGACAGGTATTTAACGTCTTTGCGTGCACCTGGGACATGCTGGAGGGCAAGGATGCGTATGCGGTGTCAGTTGAGAGGGAATGGAAGTAAAGGAAGCTGTCAGACATGCGTGGGTGCATTTTAGATGACACACACATAATAACATCATGAATAATCAAAACAACAAATCATAATCAATATAAGAATTCAGTGAATAAAACAGAGGTTAAACTAATCAATAATCGTTAATCAGAGAAAAAAAAAGAAAGAAAGAGAACTGTCAGACATTTGCGGGGAATGTCTGAAGAGTCTAAAGGAACAGAGACAACTGTTAGACATCCATGTGCAGTTGAGAGGACAAAATCCTCTGTTAGACATCCGTGTGTAGGCCTACAGTAAGTAGACATCCGTGTGTAGGCCTATAGTAAGTAGACATCCGTGTGTAGGCCTATAGTAAGTAGACATCCGTGTGTAGGCCTACAGTAAGGAGAGTTTTTGTTCTTGATTCTCTATGATATTTCCTCTACTTCGCTCTCGGTCGCTGGTGTTGGGGGGCCGGGGGATCCCTGGGGTGGCGCTGGCGGCAACTTGCGCTTGAAGAACCCCAGCTTGAAAGTCAAAATATAAATAGATTAAAAACTGGAATTCCGCACAGGAAAATGAAGCACTGAAGGAAATCCCTACATCTAGAAACAAGAAAGTGCACTGGCGTAAGGCTAAAGATTCATGAAAACTATAAATAAATATATAAAATACATGCTACCATTTAAATCAATACGTTTCTCAATCGAGTACTATAATAAATAGGTGCTTATATTTTATATACAGAAAGAGTGTGTGTTTGTGTGTATGTGTGTATGTGTGTGTGTGGTGTGTGTGTGTGTGTGTGTGTGTGTGTGTGTTGTGTGTGCGCGTGCGTGCGTGCGTGTATATGCGTGAGAGAATATTTAAAATCATATCTAAACACGAACTGAAAGAACAAAAAAGAAAAGACGAAGAAACAGAAAGAGAGATAAATAAAAACAGAGAAAAACAAGAAACCGAAGAGGACCCCCACCTTGTACAACGCCAGCACCAGCAACGCCAGGAGAAAACATCCTCCCAACATGGCTAAAGCGATGACCCAGGAATCCGGTCCTGCCTTGCCCTCGCTCACAATGAAGATCACATACGTCGTCAGGGTCACAGTCTGGTCTACGTCGCTGACCTCGCTTACTACGGTGGCGCCAGAGGGAGAGATGACCTTGGCTCGGCAGGTGGAGGTCAAGTTTATGCTATGCTGTCCGAGATGCTGAGGTGGGGGTGATAGGGATGGTAATGATGAGGGTGATAATGGTATTGATATTGTTGATAGCTGATAATTATAATAATGATAATCATCCATTAAAGATAATAGATATAGAATGATGATAATGATAGTTATAACCATGATGGTAATACTATTCATAATGATAAATTACAACAAAATTACCATTGCCTTTAATGTTGAAGTCTTTATTATGATTATCATTATGCTTATGAATATGATTATGATTATTATTGTTATCATAATTATCATCATTATCATCATTATTATAATCATTATTATTATAATTTTCATCATTATCATTATCAATCATTATCAGTATAATTATTATAGTCATTATCACTATTATAATTGCTACCATTACAAAAGCATAGTCTCAAAGTCAGTAACCTAATAAATAATCAAAACCTCACAAATAATTCTTAACGGAAAACAATGGAATATAACAATTACCTGTTGGTTCAATTCCTTGTTCGCAAATATCAAGACAATCTTCACCATCTTTTCAGCGGCCAAATTGTATACTTCAGAACTAGAAAGAGGAAGAAGAAAGCGTGAAGAACAAAGAAAAAAAAGAAAAAAAAATCGCATCTGTTTATCTATCTATATACGAATAAAAATCTATCTGTTTATCTGTCTCTTTACGAATAAAAATCTATCTGTTTATCTGCTCTATACGAATAAAAATGTTTATCTGTCTCTATACGAATAAAAATCTGTTTATCTGTCTCTATACGAATAAAAATCTATCTGTTTATTTGTCTATACACGAATAAAATCTGTTTATCTGTCTCTATAATAAAAATCTATCTGTTTTATCTGTCTATACACGAATAAAAATCTATCTGTTTATCTGTCTCTATACGAATAAAAATCTATCTGTCTTATACTGTCTATATACGAATAAAAATCTATACGAATAAAAATATGTTTATCTGTCTCTATAAATAAAATCTATCTGTTTATCTGTCTCTATAACGAATAAAAATCTATCTGTTATCTGTCTCTATACGAATAAAAATCTATCTGTTTATCTGTCTATACACGAATAAAAATATGTTTATCTGTCTATATACGAATAAAAATCTGCTGTTCTATCTGTTTATCTGAATAAAAATCTATCTGTTTGTCTGTCTATACGAATAAAAATATGTTTATTGTCTATGTTTATCTGTCTCTATACGAATAAAAATCTGTTTATCTGTCTCTATACGAATAAAAATCTGTTTATCTGTCTCTATACGAATAAAAATCTGTTTATCTGTTCTATACGAATAAAAATCTATCTGTTTATCTGTCTCTATACGAATAAAAATCTATCTGTTATCTGTCTCTATACGAATAAAAAAAATCTGTCTGTTTATCTGTCTATATACGAATAAAAATATGTTTATCTGTCTCTATAATAAAAATCTATCTGTTTATCTGTCTCTATACGAATAAAATCTATCTGTTTATCTGTCTATACACGAATAAAAATCTATCTATCTGTCTATACTCTGTCTATATACGAAATAAAAATTATCTGTTTATCTGTCTCTATACGAATAAAAAATATCTCTCACGAATAAAAATCTATCTGTTTATCTGTCTCTATACGAATAAAAATCTATCTATCTGTTTAAAATCTGTCTATCTATATACGAATAAAATCTGTTTATCTGTCTCTATAACGAATAAAATCTGTTTATCTGTCTCTATACGAATAAAAATCTATCTGTTTATCTGTCTCTATAACGAATAAAAATCTGTTTATCTGTCTCTATACGAATAAAAATCTATCTGTTTATCTGTCTCTATACGAATAAAAATCTGTTTATCTGTCTCTATACGAATAAAAATCTATCTGTTTATCTGTCTATAGAATAAAATCTATCTGTTTATCTGTCTCTATACGAATAAAAATCTATCTGTTTATCTGTCTTATACGAATAAAATCTATCTTTTATCTGTCTTTACGAATAAAAATCTGTTTATCTGTCTCTATAATAAAAATCTATCTGTTTATCTGTCTCTATACGAATAAAAATCTGTTTATCTGTCTCTATACGAATAAAAATCTGTTAATAAAAATCTATCTGTCTATATACGAATAAAAATCTATCTGTTTATCTGTCTCTATACGAATAAAAATCTGTTTATCTATATACGAATAAAAATTTACTGTTTATAACGAATAAAATCTATCTGTTATCTGTCTATATACAAAAAAATATTTTATCTGTCTATTAGAATAAAAATCTATCTGTCTATCTGTCTATATAAATAAAAATCTATCTGTTTATCTGTCTATACAAATAAAATATGTTTATTTGTCTATATAATAAAATCTACCTGTTTATCTGCTCTATTCGAATAAAAATCTATCTGTTTACCTGTCTATATAACAAATAAAATCTATCTGTTTATCTGTCTCTATAATAAAAATCTATCTGTTTATCTGTCTCTATACGAATAAAAATCTATCTGTTTATCTGTCTCTATACGAATAAAAATCTATCTGTTTATTGTCTATACACGAATAAAAATCTATCTGTTTATCTGTCTCTATACGAATAAAAATCTATCTGTTTATTTGTCTATATACGAATAAAAATATGTTTATTTGTCTCTATAATAAAAATCTACCTGTTTATCTGCCTCTATTCGAATAAAATCTATCTGTTTATCTGTATATACGAATAAAAATCTGTTTATCTGTCTAGTATTGTTTTCACTAGGGTTCAGGTTCTTAAGAAGCTATTCGGTGAAAGATTTCATATTTCTGATTTCTTCTCTTCCTTGTTTTCTTTACGATAATAATAGATAGATAGATGAATAAATAAAGAAACAAAGAAAAAGAGAGAGAAATCTTTACATCCCGAAAACGAAATAAAAAAACAGGATATGTCAGGATGATAGAAGGAGAGAGGAGAGATAAGGCACGTTGGCTGTGTCACGGGAAAGGGAGACTGATAAAAGAGGGAGCTGGGAGGAGAGGAGAGCTCAAGAAAGGGGAAGAAGAGCGGAGGACAGAAAGTAGAGAAAGGGAAGGAGAGGAGAGAAAAAGGGGTTGAAAAGTAATAGCGAAATCGGTCAATCGAAAGAAAAAGAGAGAAAGAGAGAGAGAGAGAGAGAGAGAGAGAGAGAGAGAGAGAGAGAGAGAGAGAGAGAGAGAGAGAGAGAGAGAGAGAGAGAGAGAGAGAGAGAGAGAAAGAGAAAGAGAAGACAGACGCAGAGAGAAAAGGGGTAACCTATCCAAGAAACGCCAACAAACGAAGAAGAAAGAGGAGAGGAAGAACTCGAACAAGACAATAAAAAAAAAAAAAAAAAAAAAAAAAGGAAGAGGAAGACGAAAAGAAGGAGAAAAAGGAAGTAAAACACGAAAATGAACAAGGAATCACATGCATGGCGCTTCACAAGTCCCAGATTCTTCAGGCGGAGGGTCGAAGGAGAGCAAATACTCTGTCAGAGTCTCGTTCTCTATTCCAGTGATCTGCAGGAGACACAGAAGTGGAAACCATTAGTTGAAAAAACACTCTGAATAAATAACTAATTGCAGATATAAATTATTGTTTAGATTAAGAGAGAGAGAGAGAGAGAGAGAGAGAGAGAGAGAGAGAGAGAGAGAGAGAGAGAGAGAGAGAGAGAGAGAGAAGAGAGAGAAGAAAGAAAGAAAGAAAGAGGAGAGAGAAAAGAAAGAAAGAGAAAAGAAAGAGAGAGAGAGGAGAGAGAAGAGAGAGAGAGAGAGAGAGAAAGAAAGAAAGAAAGAAAGAAAGAAGAAAGAGAGAGAGAGAGAGAGAGAGAGAGAGAGAGAGAAGAGAGAGAGAGAGAGAGAGAGAGAGAAAAGAAAGAAAGAAAGAAAAGAAAGAAGAAAGAAAGAGAAAAGAGAGAAGAAAGAAAGAAAGAAAGAGAGAGAGAGAGAGAGAGAGAGAGAAAAGTTTACAAATGGATAAGGCTAATCGACAGTGTGTTGTAATATACCTACCATTTGTGAATTTCCCAAAGCAGTGATATCACATAGTTGTTATTGAATATAAAGCGATACAAGATATATAAACATAAATAACAAAGAGAGAAAGATAGGGAGTGGAAGAGAGAGAGGAAGAGAGAGAGAAAGAGAGGGAGTGGAAGAGAGAGAGGAAGGGAGGGAGTGGAAGAGAGAGAGAAGGGAGGGAGTGGAAGAGAGAGAAAGAGAGGGAGTGGAAGAGAGAGAGAGAAGGGAGGGGAGTGGAAGAGAGAGAGAAGGGAGGGAGTGGAGAGAGAGAGAAAGTGGGAGAAGAGAGAAGGGAAGAGAGAGAGAAAGAGAGAAGAAGAGAGGGAGTGGAAGAGAGAGACAAAGAAAGGGAGTAGAAGAGAGATAGAAAGGAGGGAGTGGAAGAGAGAGAGAAAGAGAGGGAGTGAAAGAGAGAGAGAAAGAGTGAGAGAGACAAAGAGAGGGAGTGAAAGAGAAGAAAGAGAGGGAGTGGAAGAGAGAGAAGAAAGAGAGGGAGTGGAAGAGAGAGAGAAAGAGAGGGAGTGGAAGGAGAGAGAGAAGAGAGAGATAAAGGAGAGTGGAAGAAGGAGAAAGAGAGGGAGTGGAAGAGAGAGAGAAAGAGTGAGGAGTGGAAGAGAGAGACAAAGAAAGGGAGTGGAAGAGAGAGAGAAAGAGAGGGAGTGGAAGAGAGAGAGGAAGAGAGATAGGAAGAAAGAGAGTGGAATAGAGAGATAGAAAGGAAGGGAGTGCCACGTCTCTGTCGGTCGCCAAAAATGGTGGATAGTAGTGAGGAATAAATGGAGAAACGAGAGAGAGAAGAGATAAGGAGAGAGTACGAAAGGCTGGCGGATGTAGAATAAGAGAGAGAGGGAGAGGGGAATAACTGGAGACTGAGAGGGAAAGAGATACAAGATATATAAACATAAATAAAACAAAAGAAACTAGTTTTTACGGATATGATTAGAAAAAGAGAAAAGAAGAATAAAAGAAAGAAAAAAAAACGAAAATCAATAAAACAAAAAAAGAAGAAAAGAATAAGAAAAAAAAGAAAAGAAAAAACAAAGAAAAGTGAAATAAAAGCAAAGAAAAACAAGGAAAATATAAAAGAGAAAGAGAGAAAAGAAAAAAAAGAAAGAAGCAAGAAAGAAAGAAAGAAAAAAAAGAAAGCAAGGAAAAGAGAGAAAAATGAAAGAAAGAAAAAGAGGAAGGAGAGAATACATGAATATCTGAATATACATACACACACACACACACACACACACACACACCACACACACACACACACACACACACACAGCACACACATGCATGATATACATATACATGCATGTATGTATGTTTGTGTGTATGTATGTATGCATATACATACATACATACATACATACATACACATACACACACACACACACACACACCTCACACACACACACACACACACACATATATATATATATATATATATATATATATATATATATATATATATATGTACGTATATAATAAAAGCTAACCACACCTTGCCTGAGCAGGTAACAGCAATTTTCTGGATCGGAAACAGACCGACATTCCTCAGTGTGTAATTGTGAGTCACAGTGAAGTTCTCATCATCAAAACTGAAAAAAAAAAAAAATAAAAAAATAAAAAATAAATAAAATAAAATAAATAAATAAATAAAAATAAATAAAATAGTATTCATCCATATCTCTCTCTGTACGTGTCTAAGAGCACGCACACACGCAAAACACACACCACACACATGCACACACAAGCGCGCGCTAATGATAATGATAATGATGATAATGATAATAATGATGATGATAATGACAGTAATAAGAATGATGACGCTAATGCTATTACTAGTAATGATAATGATAATACCAATAATAATAATAACAATAATGATGATGATGATGATGATGATGATGATGATGATGATGATGATGATGATGATGATAATGAATGATGATAATAATAATAACAACAACAATAACAAAACAACAACAACAACAACAACAAAAATAATAATGGTAATAATAATTACAATAAGGATAATATTAATAATGATAATGAAAGTAATAATGATACTACTACTACTAATAAAATAATAATGATAATAATAATGATAACCAATACATAATAACACCAATAATAACAACAACAACAATAATAATAATAACAAATATAAGAATAATTATGAAAAAAAAAATTAACGAATGACACAGAGATTGAAAATATAAAAAACCTGATATCATTCTTCTCCACCCTGGCCGCTCCTTTTCCGTCCGCGAAAGTGATGCTTATGGATTCATCTTCATTCTCTCTGAAAAATAGACGAATAAATAGATAAGTAAACAGTTAAAAATACAAAATAAATTTAAATAAAATAAATTGTTAAAAAAACAAAATAAATTTAAATAAAATAAATTGTTAAAAAAAAACAAAATAAATTTAAATAAAATAAATTGTTAAAAAAAACAGAATAAATTTACGATTAAAATACATGTCGGTGAACAATAAATAGAGAGAATTAGATAGAAAAATAAAGATAAATAGAAAAAAATAAAACCAAAATAGGAAAATAAATAGAAAAAAATACAACAAAAATAGGAAAATAAATAGAAAAGATTAAAATGAATAGAAAAAGTAAATAAAGCAATAAATAGAAAAATAAGAAATAAAGAACACAATACGTTAATGAACAATAAACAATATTAATGTCAGTTATCAATTATCTGTTTTTCTTATTGTTTTAAATTTTATCATTTAATGGATCGGTTTATTTTCATCCTTTTATTATTGGTTTGATTATTATCATTATTTTCTTTTTAATGACACTTTAATTATCGTCATGAAGTCCCATTATAAGTTATTATTATCGCTATTATTCCCTTCTAACGGTGTAAAGGAGACGACACCGGTAAGAAAGAATAAAGAGAAGGAAAGAAGAATAAGAATGAGAAAAAAATGAATAATAAGAAGAGGAAAAAGGAGAAGAAAAAAGAGGAAAAGAAAAGAAAAAGAAGTGCGGAAAATAATAACAATAGTAATAATAATAATGATGATAATAATAATAATAATAATAATAATAATAATAATATAATAATATAATAATAATAATAAAATAATAATATAATAATGATAATAATAATGATAATAATTACAATAATGAATAACAATTATCATTACATTACTGATGATTAAAAAATAATGATAATAATATAAAAACTGCAACAATAACAACAAAAATAACAACAACAAAAATAACGAAGCCACCCCTTACCCCACAAGAGAGAGAACGGGACGAAGCTTCGGGAACATCTTGAAGGTCAAAAAATCATTGGAAGCATTCTTATCGTTCACACACATGCCTGCCATATCTAGGTTGATGCTAGGAGGCACAACTGAAGTCTGGTTCATGAAATCCAGGAGGGCTTTCACGTCCTGTTCGAACCTGAGCATCATAATCATCTGTTATGAGAAGGGAAGGCGGGGTTAGTTGGTGTGTTGGCAGCGCTTGTTGAGGTTTATGGGGGTTGGTAACACTGCTGTTGTCGTTAGTGTTTGATTATTGTCGTTATTTTTATTTATGTTTCTGTTATTGTTATTTTTATCATTATTGTCATTACTATTGTTACTTTTATCATTATCATTCTTCTTCTCCTTTTTATCATTATTAGTATAACTTCTACCAGTAGTAGTAATACCATAATTATCTTAATCATCATTAACATATCATTAACGTCGTCATTATCACAGTCGCTCTTTACGTCAAAATCATTCTCGTCATCCTCACCATCCTCGTGATAATACCATTCACCATCTTTCTCCTTCTACCACCACCACTATCATCACCCAGACTGAAGAAGTATTTTTCTGCGCGGGGATATTATAATTTTTTTTATGCGCGGAAAACATCATTTTGTTAATTTCGCGCGGACGGATCTGCGGACGGATGGTGAAACGAGTGCGCGGGAGGTCTAAAGAATTTACGCGGGGAAAATGATTAAAAAAAAAAAGAACTAAGCGTACGCGGAAAGTTAACCCGAGAACTACATTTGACGCGGACAGAATCTGAACCAAACTCTGCAGTCTGGCCATCACCACCCATTCACCCCTCTATCTCCCTACGCTTCACCCTCCCTACGCTTCACCCTTCTATCTCCCTACGCATCGTATGAAACAGTGACGCAAAATCGTTAAGCTAAGATTGAAGTCGACCTCCATTACCTCCGTCCCCGGCCTTATCTTCATGGTGGTGAACTTGCAGCGGCGCCTCCTGAAGCAGTCCAGAGAAATCGGCGAGTTGGAGGACCTCCCCATCTGCGCTGTGAGACCCACTGTGTCCATGACGCTGATGTAAGGATCGTAGGCATTTCCTCCGGTCACTGTCACGTTGAATTCGACGCTGGCATACCTCTCTCCGACTGTGAAGTTGATTCTGCAGGTTGATGTTTGGGAAGGTTTGAGGAAGTTGGTGGTTTGGGGTTGTTGGTGTGACGTGACGTGAAGGGGGAAGTTCGAGTGAAATGCGAGGGAGATTTGAAGAAGATAGAAATATCTTTAGAGGGTGACTGCGTTTAGAAATGATAAGACTAAAAAAAAAAAAAAAAGGATAATGATATATTTTCCATATACCTATAACAAAATATCCT